CACACGACGGGCCCACCCAGCCTAACAGGTAACATGAACACACACCTCGACGTCATTCTAGTATTAGTAATCCGTGAAACTCAACCACGGGAGACTCCATCACTCCGGAAAGACGCCAGAGACCACCTGACACCGGAGATAAATAACAGAGAAAATAGACGGCGCCACAGACCAGGGGGCCTATTCTCGAAATATTTCCGTGCACGGAAGTGGCTTCGTAGACGAATTGCGTATTGGGAACAGGAAATATCGTTGAGGGCGCTGTTTTTTGCCAATATGGCCGTCAAAGAGGTATACACACACGCGCTCACACAAGCCCCCATTTGCTTGAGTATCGTAGATATGCACCCTTAACGCAGACATTCATAGAGGGCATCTTGTTATTAAGCGTCCCCAATAGGAATCATATAAGCGTTCCGTCAACATAGTCGATTCCGCGCACGGAAATATTTCGAGAATAGGCCCCCAGCACGTGGCCGGCGAATTATGCAAATAAGGCCAGGATTGGCTAATCATGCCAATTGAGAGCCAATATCAAGATCCGAGAGAAATAGAGCGAGTGGGCAGGAGATTGAAAGGGCAATGGTCATTTCCGCCTCTCTCTTTACTTCCATCTCTATTGTCAATCGCTTTGCATCGCTTTAAGTTTCTCTAATTTTCGTATCTATTGCGTGGGTCAAATTAAAAAGCTTTTCGTGCAAATTCGACAACGGAGGTGGGAACAAGGTGCTCCGGACCTTATCAGGAGGTTTTTGAGGCGACTGAGGGCAATTTCGAGGCGAAATACAGGCGGCAAATATCCAGGCGAATCTCCTGGCGAATATTCTATTCATCGAGCGAACACGTGGCGAGGGACGGAGTCGAGGCGTAATATTGGGTCAGGACGAGTGATTAGAGTGAGTGTGCACATTTAAAATATTGTCATTGGTGCGACGGGGTCGTTAGCGAGTACGAGAACATTTTAGAGCTCATTGAAGCGCCTGTCAGCTTCCCTGGCAGTAGGAATCTCATTGCGAACGGAGACTATCGACTCCATCTTGATAAAACCGCGTGGCCGTAGAGTCGGTGCTTACCGGAGCGAAATACAATAATTTATTGTAAGCGTTACGAGCGTCTGAGCTACAGATAATATTGCGATATTATTAATTGGAATTATTATTTTATTTTCGTTTCCTTTGTATCGTTGTTCGTTGGAGGCGCAACGGAGAGAGAGGACGTATCTCGGCTAGTATTGCGGGTAAGAAGCGTTGTGGAAGCACAGGTAGTGTCTACGGATCTGCTCACCTTATATTTATCCTTGGGGAATTAATAAATGCACAACTGAGCCTCTTCGGTGTTTCCCCGGATAGCAATTCAACAGATATCTTTGCTTCCTAATTCTTTTGGATTTTATCGAGTAGGGTGGACTGGAGTTTCCGGCATTTTGTAAGATTATTATTATTTTTGATAATTTTTCTTTCTTTCATTTTTCTTATTGAACGATAGCCTTAATTCATTCCTATTATTATTATTTTGGGTGACGACCCGCCAGTAGCAAAATCATTTATTTTTCTGTTTATAAAATTAGTTAAGTTCCCTTTTTTAGAATATAGACTGTTCAGTATTTCGATAATCTTTCTATTTACTGAATAATATCCTCTCCAGACTCGCTGTTTGAAGATGGTGGCGTGAGGTGGGCATGAGCCCAACGGGAGGAGAAAAATTCCTAATTTCGGGGTAAAAGAGGAAGTAATAATTGAAAGAAGTGGTTAAGGAGAGGCTATTATTGGTAGTGATAGTGAAAATGAAATGTTTTCCCGAAAAATCATGAGAAGTGGAGAGATAGAAGAGGAAAAAGTGGCAATTGGATAAGCAAGGTTAGGTTGAACAGCATGACCATGAGGCAAAAGCGACACAGAACAGAGAGTCGAACAACGCAACAGAAACATATAGAAAGATAATCCAATAGAAGCGCAAGTCATCGGAGAGAAATAACGAGGGATGAAAGACGGAGGCAGAAGATATAAGGCAGAGTGTGAATTACAGAAAATTATCAACAATAAGTGACAGTTGATGGAAGGAAGACCAAGCGTAGTGGCTAGGAAATGGACACAGAGAGGCGGCATTGCGAAAGCAGTGGGAGAAGGATGCAGATGTGGAAGAGGGACAGAAATGGAATAGAGGCTGAACACGCATACACAGAGGCTACGACCAGAAAGAAAAAATCGCCTCCACTATAAATGAAGAGGAAAGTGAGAGCTAGAGGAAGTGGTGGCTGTGATGGATAGTTCTGCCACGAGAATAAATGCAAATTTTTGAAGAATTTGGCAGTTATAAAAGCATTACTGGCGACAACTTTTGGTCAGTGAGGGAGGCTTGGAAACAGCGAGCGGAGTAGCGTGGAAGGGGCTAAAGAGAAGCAAAGGCACGAGAGTGACGTCGGAAGACATGGGCGATGCAGAGGGAGCCGAATCAGTGGCAGGATGGGACATCGGAAACGGACACGTCTGCAACATTTGTCATTGTTGCCAATTCGCGAAAATTTTCTTAAATTTCGTCGCGATGTCTTAAAAATGTTTCTTAATATACATGATTCATTTATTAAGTGCTTTCTTACTCGCGAATCGCGGGGAGGGGAGTGACGATGGCATAGTTCCGCACTGTTTTCTGGCAATATCTGTTTGTCTTATATATTAGGTGTTCTGTATGTTAGCTGCATTTAGGTTAATACCTAAAACAATTTTTGGTATTTTGTATTTATCTATTCATGTTATTATTGTGTTGAGGAGAGGCTTGTGTAGGTGTAAAACAGTAATTGTAGCACCAATGAAATAAAATTCTATTCTATTCCTCTCCTCTAAAGATATAGAGTAAATAAATTAGATCAAGCACGAGCACACCGGACAACAAATAGGTAACGGTGTACATTGCACTGTTTACGAATTATTTCCTTTATCATTGGGGATCATCTCGAGTTTACTGCAGTAACCGGAATAAATATATTTTGAATATTCGAGAGATTAAAGAATTTACGTCGATTGTCACTTGGTGTCTCAACACGCACCTTTTCACATTGCCTGATATTTTAGAAATACCAGACAATGTCACAACACGCAACCTACCTATTCGCTTCAGCGAAACGAGTCAACGGAGACTCTTGAGTTTGAGTTTGATAGTTTCGCAGATTAAATTAGATTTTTAGTTGGAATCTTTTTGAGGGGTCAGATTTTCAGTTCATTGTGACAACCACCAACCTACCTCACGGCTATTAAGCCTTCAAATTAAATTATCAGGAAATTCTCTCGTCTTTTAGAGAATATCTTTCAGAGAAGATCGTGAACATCCTCGAGAGTTATTGTTCATTTTCACACCACTTTTTACATGTTGCGTGTGTGTTACAGCATTCACCCCCAATGCAGCACAAATCATTTCTGTTGCTTTGGCGGCACTTTTCTTCAATTGAAATGCAAAAAGAATGCAGTATCTGAAATGTTGTTTATCGACAGCAATCCTGTTCACCACTGTTTTTTGAACTTAACTGATTTATTTAGATGAAATACATGGTGTTATAAAGACTCAGTGATACCCATTTACAAAATTAAAAATGATCAGAATTTACTTAAATTTGCAAAGGAAATATCACGCAAGATTTATTAAGGCATCGAATGAATTTGTATACCTAATAATAATAAGAATGATAAAACTGAATTATAATAGTCTTATAATAGTCTGCGAAATCACTTATATTTTGTTGATTCAGTGGAAATTAAAGGTCTGATTGCAAGTTAAAGACCGTATCCCATGATATTGATAATCCTAGAACGCTCTTCATCGTCATTCTAGGGTTATGAATGTCATAGAATATGAGATGGGGAAAGGATGGAAAGGTAAAGAAATATTAGCAGCCATGAGACATTCAATAATGCCTGACTTTATTCGTGGACACATTCATGTCACCTGTAAGAGGATTGAAAAGCTTTAACCCATTCAACGACAAAGCGTTTTCCCACGTTTCGTAATTTTGTAGTAGTGTGCGTATGCTGCCGTGTTGCTCCTACACGGAGAGAAAAATATATGACAATCCCGTGCGAATCCCTTTAAAAATAAGTGTGCTATAGATTAGCCGTGAAACCGACTAGGGGTCACCAAAAGTTCGAATGATTCACTCAAAAATTAGAAAATAGCACTTTAATTTTTTTTAACATCTTATACTACTTTCCCGTGGGATTCCCTTAAAAATTGGGGGGGTGNTAATTAATCCCATCCCACCACCCACTCGCGGCGCATCCTCAGACCTTTCTGACCCTTCCCAAAAATGGTTGGGCCAGAACCCGTCCTACACATCTACTTGTGGGGGTTCCACATCACAATTTATTAGTGACTATTGTTTGGTCCCATGAGTTGATGAATAGTACAATAATTTGTGCTAGAATGTTCTCTCCATGTATTGCGCACTAATACGCTCCACTTACGCGGAGCCTTATTTTTCACCGGGAGATATAATATACAGGGTTTCCCACGACTGATCCTTTTCCTTTGAGGGTATTGAAGAGGATGTTTTTTGAAGTGGAGAGTTCTCCTTCCACTTTTGGATCTAAGTACTTTTTTTTGTTCGTCCTTTTTTTCTTTTGGTCTGTTACTACTGACTAGTGCGTAAAGATCCAATTTTTCGCACGCACGTGTAACACATCCCATTTTTGTGATACCTGCCGAGTTCAATATTCGCAACAGTAGTAGGGGTAAAGTGTTACGCACGCCGTGCGGAAAACAACCGTATTACGCACGCCGTGCGGAAAACAACCGTATTATGCACACTAAACCGTTTTGAAAAGTGAACTTTTCAGGCAGGTATCACAAACAATTTTCATCACGCTGTGTGTAAAGTGACATTTTACGCACGCTCCGCGTGCGCAAAACTCCACTTCCCACACATTGTGATGAAAAATAGGGTTCGATACTCGCGGGAAAAGTGTTTTTAGATTCGTGGGATTATATCACTCGCCTTCGGCTCGTACTATAAACCTCCCACGAGCCCAAAAACACTTTCCCGCAATCGTATCGAAATATACTATTTTCTTTTATTTCTTTTCAGTACGTGTGATGCCCACAGATGCGACCATCTACGGCTGCACTCCCCCTTCTTGCCCTTCTGCGCCCAAAATCATTTTCCAAAAAGCAGGAAAAAAAATGCTCAGATTCAATAGTGGAAGGGGAACTTTCCACTTCAAAACGCACCCTCTTCAATAAGCTCGAAGGAACAGGATCGGTCGTGGGACACCCTGTATAGACGAATGAAGCGTTGGACTCCGTCTCATTTCCACGACATAATGCGATCCTCCTCTTTTCGCCCAACCTCCTCTTACCCATTCATCCCCCTCCCACCGGTGGAAAACGGCCCACGTAGACGATTGTAGACGTTTGTCGTTCAATGGGATATACACATGACAATTATCCCATTAACAAAATGAAAACGACCAAATTATGTAGAAAATTGCATTCTGCATTGTTACCGCATCACACACACTTTTGCACCTGCTACACCTTACATCAATTTTTGTAGAATTAATTAAATGAGAGGTTCCTGAATAAACAAGACCGTAACGAATTTTCTAGACATACATAGTCTGACAGACTGATTTCGACTTATCTCTGGTATTTATCAAATTTCATTGGTATGATTACTTAAGTAATTTGGCAATGCCCCCTACGATGAAAATTATTTCGTCTTATTAATTTTCATTGAAGAGCATTTTTTCTAAATCCTCGACAGAGTTTAGGAACTCCAATTTTTCTTTGTTTGGCTTATTTCAACTAATTATCTCTTCTTTCTCTTTATTCCTGGGGCTGTGCTTCACTCGATTTTAGTCGTGTACTTGGTTGAATCGTAAACTCTGAAAAAATTGGTTGAATCTTTAAATTCTTTTCATGAAGAAAAGCCTTATCATTTCTATTTGTTAAAGAAAGTGATTTGTGATCAGAAGGAATGAAGGCATGAATCGTTTGAACTTCACGTGAGCTTGAAAATAGCCTGTGCAAGTAGGGGAATTTTCGTTAAAAATTCAGGTTGACGGTAAATAATTTCTGTTATATCTCTTAAAATAGTTGAGGGAAGAGGAGTGATGAGCTGAGTTTTTCGATGAAAATTTTGTTAACTTACCGACAAGGTCGTTCCCAAAACGGGAGAAAATAATCGCATTCATGTCTCCACTTTTTCCCTCACAAGCTTGTTCATGAGTGAAACTGTGCCATGGCAGAGTGATAAAAAACTGTTAGCTCCGTTCAATACTGCGCAATGTTTTATTTTCTTTAAATCTTGCCTTTTTATGTTACAATCTATATGTAGCTGTCATATTTCAAGTATAAATGATGACTTCCATTAGTTACAGTGTATATACAAATCTTTTTTTCATAAAATTCTGTTCACAATTGCAGTTCTGGGACCAGGAATTAATTACGATAACAATAACAACTTACAACAAACATACAAATTTATAAGAAAAATGAAAATGCTATAGTATCTTCTGATAAATCAGGTACTAGCAGCTAATGGTCATTTTATTATTGAACGGTGTAAATTCAATATTAATTGAAGAATTGTAGTTATACATGTTATTTTATGTATCAAAAATGTGGAGTTCGCGTAAAGCAATGAAATCAAACTTATTTTCCATCAAGTTATACTGGTGTAAAATTCACCTCATAATTAAATAATTTTCTAATCCTGATTAGTGGTAATTTAGCTAATCAATTTTGCAAAGAATCACACGTGGGAATGATAGTAATGTAAGACTAATAGAATTAACAAACTGAAAACAAAAGGCAGAACGGTTAAGCAGACATTTCTGATGCAGAAAATGAATTTTTCTTCAATTATTAAACTTGAACATGGGGTATTCCATGTGAACTCACCCAGGTCAAAACCCTCACCATCGCCAATAATATTGCCGATTTTTCCTGTGGTTGTATATGGAAAAATATGACTTCTCAAATTTTTTCAGATTTTTTGAGGCATCCTGTGGACAGCCATGTTTTTTTGCAAGTTTTATTTTTAAATGCCTGTAACTTCCATAAAAATCAACCGATTTGAGTTTTTTTTTTACAAAATGTGCGTCTTCGAACACACTTTCCATATAAAAATATGCCAATTTTTTTCAATTCGTTCTTCCATCGATTTCGTCAGAAATAACTCGAAAAACTTCAAAAAACGAGTCGTTTCCAAAGTTGGACCCTTTTTATATTTTTCAAAAAATTTCATTGACTATATTGAACCAAAACAAAATTTTTCACCAAAGGCCAACGTGGGCTTCCCATTTCGTGGCTGTCATTTCCAATTTGAATAGATGAATCTGGGATCAAAAATTTCAAAATTCTTCTCAAATTTGAACACAGAAGCATTATTTGAATTTACCGCCTGAAGAATCACTGCATTATATACGAATCTGGAACAATTTGATTATTTTTTGAAAATTCGTTAACAATAAATCTTTCCGAGTGGTCTGTCCTAATAGAGATCCCACTTTGGCCTTTGGTGAAAATTTTTATTTTGGTCCAATATATTCACTGAAATTTTTTGAAAAATATAAAAAGGGTCCAACTTTGAAAACGACTCGTTTTTTGAAATTTTTTGAGGTTTTTCTGTGGAAATCGATGGAAGAACGAATTGAAAAAAATTGGTATATTTTTATATGGAAAGTGTGTTCGGAGACGCACACTTCGTAAAAAAACCCAAATCGGTTGATTTTTACGGAAGTTACAGGCATTTGAAGATAAAACTTGCAAAAAAACATGGCTGCCCACAGGATGCCTCAAAAAATCTGAAAAAATTGGGGAAGTCATATTTTTCCATGTACAACCACAGGAAAAATCGGCAATATGATTGGCGATGGTGAGGGTTTTGACCTGGGTGAGTTCACATGGAATACCCCACATGCTTTTCAAATCAATGAAAATGAAAGTTGACGGATTTTCATAGTGAAACGATGAAACTTCCTTATCCCTGATGGAGTGATTCTAACAGCCAAAAAAGGAATTCCTTCTACTAAAATGGCCTAAATCTCCTTTTTTCTCAGATATTTTTTTCAATGAAATATATTAAGTTTTTGGGATTATCCCACTTTATCATTTTATAATGCAAACTAATGGAGAGATTTCTTTAGAAAAGTTAGTTGGAGTCCCTGGTAATTGATTCCAGTTTGTGTGAGTGAAAGGTGATACAGTGGGGTGCTCCTTGTCTCAGTTTAACTGCTTACTTACTCGAGACCAAATGCCCAATTGATACCTTGAACTAGTAACAATATTAGTGGCTGCCAGGCCACTAACCATCGAATCCAGTCGAGTAATTGACCGAATAACACATGTGGTCGTTCCCATCTTCAATCCAATGTTAAGGAAAAGATGATTTTTTTTTTGGACGGCTGAGAAACATGGAAGAATATTCATAAGAAATTGATCGGCCTTGCGGTAGACGAGAATTCATTGGATCAAATTAAAAATGAAACAATTTTTTATTTCTTTAATGAAGAATACAGATTTCATTAGATATGAAATTCAATGATTGAAAATTCATCAGACATAAATAGATGAATTTTGTATTCTACACAGAGAAATAAACGAATTTGGTTATTGTCGTGATGAGGACTTCAAAATCTGAAGGTAATCCTATCCTTTCTGATTTGATGACTTTTCTTTGACAGCGAGGCCACTCACCTCTTTATAATCCGTCCATACGGTCACTAGTCAACATTGAACTCTTTTAAGCGTAGTAGGACGCTCCAGTGGGGACATCGGTATTCCACTTTGACATCCGTGGAAGACAGTGGAAATATTGAAATTTAGTTTAGGGGGTTAAGAATTGAAAAATACTAGGAGAGAGTGGAACATAATGAAACAGTGGGGCAAAATGAAACAGTCAAAAAACAATTGTTTGATACAATTCAAGCAAAACCAAAATTTTTTTATTAAATATTTTTTTTTATTAATTTCTTTTTATTTTTGGGAATACTGTTAAGAACAATAATTTTCCATTCAGTAGAACGGACGAAGAATTTGTCAATGAATTAATTGAAAAGAAAATTGAAACAGCAAAATCCAAACTTCAGAGCAAGGCCCAGGAAATCCAGAGGGAGAAAAAGGAAAATGTGATGCTGAATTTCAACCGAATGAAAAATGAAAAGTTGAATCGGCCTAATCTAATCAATTGAATTAACTAAGATGAATAGAAAATTATTGTTCTCATCAGTACTCCCAATAATAAAAAAATATTTTAATAAAAATGTTAATAAAAAAAAATTTGTTTGCTTAAATTACGCCAAATAATCGTTTTTCGGTTATTTAATTTGTAAGGGATTTTTGCCGTGTACTTCACCAGCAGAGATTCCAAACTACTTTGACATCTTCTCTATCGCTCAATTGTTGTGCGCCAGCTGCATTTTCACGGAAAATCCAACGGTAAACCGGCCTCAGAGGATAACTCATCTACCCTGAGGACTTCTCGTGGCGGGACTAACTATGCCGAGCCAGCATCAGCGTAATACGGTAGAGCACTGATCTCTATACTAACTGGATAGACTATCCTTACGGGCCGAGTACGCTGGAAACTGAGGGCCTTGAATAGTTCGCCAGCGCCTCCCTTGTATGGCCTCGGAACTACAGGATGCCTTAATGCGCTTGCGCGACTGGAATGCTAGATAGTGGGGATGGTTATCTGACTGTGTCATTTTTCCGGTCCCATAACCCCCAAATATCTGTAATTTCGGTGACTGTCAATCAACAGCGAATACCTGGGCATTACCTGTCGACGAATGTCTTTAGGAAGAGTTCAATTGTCAGTGAGGTTACGAAATAATTCATTCCTTCCATTCTGTAAACTTTTACAAAAATGGTTCGGTGTGAATACTGCAAAAAAGATCCACCAAATCGAAAGAATTGTCTTTCCGTAAGTTTCAGAATTTGTATCAGTGAAATGTGTAATGCAACTATAAGTAGATATTGCAGGAGGTAATGTATATGAAACATAGGCTCCAATCATAATAAATAGAAAGAGTAAATATGAATTGCATTCGACAATACAAGGCAATAATTTAGAGATATGAGAAGTTCACTAACGGTGATAAAATAATAAAACTGGCAGTGATATAGCTCGCACAGTCTGTTGAATAATATCTTTGTTGTATTGTATTAGTCCTTGAAATTATGAAAAATAATTTTAATAAATATCACGTATTATTTTCGATTGCAGAAAAAGATAGAATTATTTCAATTAGATTTTTTTATTTTATTTTATTATATTTCAATTAAATCTGCATCGAATTGTCCTTATAATTCCGCCCATGCTATTTCACTGATCAAAATCGAGCTTCTATTATCTTTTTGTTTCATCCTCTCCTGTAACGATAATGTCACCTCATTGCACCACACAATATCTATTTTAAAAAGAGGATGTATTTTCATGTAAGAATTTGTCGGAAGATGAATGGTTTTCCCACTTTCTGTGGTTATTCCCCCCGACAATCGTCCCAGTTATCATTTCAATTGACGACAATGAAAATCCTCCCTTCAAATCTTGATTTTGTATAATATAACATCAGAAAAATGACCATTCAATTTTCCAACTTTACCAGGTCAATACCCACCCCCCACTATGCGACTACGGTCGCGCAAACGCACTAACGGCGCGCTTCGTTTCTAGGCCATACAATGGAGGCGCTGGGTGAACGTCCAACTTGGGCCATCAGTGTCTTACAGCCAGGGTTGGGCAAGTAAATTACCTTAGGTAAATTAGATGGTTTTTGACCGGTCATAAAGTAGGTAAATTACCCGGGCGAGTTGTCGGCTTTTTGACCTGTCAAAAACCTATGTGGCACCATCTATTAGCACCTTGGGGAACCGGGAGATTTGTACCGAGAATACCGCCTGTCAGAGTTACAAGGGTCAAAATTCGAAAAAATCATACCCACTGAGGTTATGCCTCAAGAGGGTCAATCGTCGCAAAGGTCATACCTCGCAAGGGTCAAACGTGACAATCATAACTTGCGAGCGTCAAATGATCATAAGCAACAACAAAGACCAAACGGAATAGTTTCAGATTATTTTTTCTTAATTCACGATCATTCCACCCTTGTCATTGTTCTGCCTACAGGAGAGGTAAGTTGAAAAATCACGAGAGTTAAAATTAAGACGCAGGCAACNACAAGTTTTTACGGAAATGACGCAACAAAAGTACATTTTTGTACTCAAAATCTCTGTCTTGGACCTCACTCGATCGCTCTTTTCTCATGAAAATAACCATCGGCTAAGAAAAATTTACAAAAAATCGGTTTTTGNAGAAGGCAGAACCCTTGCGATGTTTAACCTTCGCGAGGATAACCCTCGTGATCGTTTGATCTTAACGATTTCCGGCCGATGTGCCTCTCACTTTTGACCCTTGTGACTTTTTAGCTTAGCTTCCTTGTAAAGAGCTTTCCGACACTTTTTGACATTTTTGACGCCCCAGAGGTAAATTACCGGTATTTGACAATGTCACGTCATAAACTTCCATCTGCGAGATATGCCCAACCCTGCTTACAGGATAGTCTATACAGTTAGTATAGAGATCAGTGCGGTAGAGTGGGCGAGGTCCACCATACNCGGTTTTTGTACCATGACTTGGCAGATTCCTACAAATAAAATGGTGTCGGCCTTGCCCTGGTCCTTGCCGTTAAATAATTTGCAATTTTTTTTCGCATAAATAAGAAAAGTATGGGAACAGGAGTAATTCACTCGATCGATCTTCGTCTTTTCAGCCGAGAGATCTCGATAAAGCGTATCTTCCAGGAGACATTTCTCCATGTATCTTTCGCCGAGGATGTTTCCATTCCTCTGACGTATTTCTTTTCTCTCCAGAGTGGCTCAACTCTGGAGAAGTCGACCATTACCTGCGAATCCTTCTCACTCCTTGGAGCGCCGAACATTGAGAGGCACATGCGACACAGGTATCCGGAGACTTATTCTCAACCACCTGTGCCCACCCCAACTCAACCTCAATGCTCGGTAAAAACACTATCATCGCGGGCCAGCACCCAGATTACTCGTCGTGGGGGCACGTGCGATCGGGCCTCCAGGAGTCGGCCTAACTTGCGGCCCACGGATCCACGCCAACACCACTTCTTTCGTCACAACGTACCCCCANACGGGGAAAAAGTTTCATTGATTCTCATTGCATAGAATCCAAGAAAACTTGTTTTTGGTAAACGTCTTTTTGTGGGTTACCCCTTAAGGGGTAACGGAACCTGTCGCACGTAGAGGTTAGGGGTCCTCCCTATCGGTATTGCAGGTTCCCGTGGTTTTTTTGATTTTGTACGTGAAAAGTACAAAAGCCCATAAAATATAAATAAATGGATATAAATAAATAATAATGGTATGGAAACATTCTACATCATCTTCTGACTCATAAAAGTACTTTCCTCTTACAATTGGTGCCANATAATTCATTCCTTCCATTCTGTAAACTTTTACAAAAATGGTTCGGTGTGGATACTGCAAAAAAAGATCCACCAAATCGAAAGAATTGTCTTTCGATAAATTTCTGATTTTATATCAATGAAATGTGTAATGCAACTATAAGTAGATATTGCAGGAGGTAATGTATATGAAACATAGGCTCCAATCATAATAAAAAGAAAGAGTAAATATGAATTGCATTCGACAATGCAAGGCAATAATTTGGAGATATGAGAAGTTCACTAATAGTGATAAAATAATAAAACTGGCAGTGATATAGCTCGCACAGTTTGTTGAATAATGTCTTTGTTGTATTGTATTAGTCCTTGAAATTATGAAAAATAATTTTAATAAATACCACGTATTATTTTCGATTGCAGAAAAAGATGGAATTATTTCAATTCGATTTTTTAATTTAATTTTATTATATTTCAATTAGATCTGCATCGAATTGTCCTTATAATTCCGCCCATGCTATTTCACTGATCAAAATCGAGCTTCTATTATCTTTTTGTTTCATCCTCTCCTGTAACGATAATGTCACCTCATTGCACCACACAATATCTATTTTAAAAAGAGGATTTATATTCATGTAAGAATTTGTCGGAAGATGAATGGTTTTTCCACTTTGTGTTTATTCCCCCCGGCAATCGTCCCAGTTATGATTTCAATTGACGAGAATGAAAATTCTCCCTTCAAATCTTGATTTTGCATAATACAACATCAGAAAAATGACCATTCAATTTTCCAACTTTACCAGGGCACATTACCCACCCCCCACTATGCGACTACGGTCGCGCAAGCGCGCTAACGGTGCGCTTAGTTCCTAGGCCATACAATGGAGGCGCTGGGTGAACGTCCAACTTTAAGGTATGATACAGGCAGGTATTCTT